GAGAGAGAGAGAGAGAGAGAGAGAGAGGGTTCAGCCTCCTGATGAGTCGCTGAAACCTCGATCGAACAGTTTGTTACAACGCCCTCGATTGTCCTGTAAAGAACCTGCTCCACAAAACCGAAGCTGCATTATATATACGCCGTCTGGCACAGCCCCTCGTTTGTTGTCCTCTTCACCCTCTCTCTGCCTACTGTTTCCCGGACAGTTCCATTTGACGATGTTGTCTCTTCTCCCTCTCTGCCTACACAGTTTACCGGCCAGTTCTGTTGGACGGAGTCCGATCCATTGTGTCCTCTCAGCATTGCTCCTCCCTCGTCGTCTAAGCTGTAGTAGAAGGATGTCAGCAACAGCGTTGGAAGAAGGGAGATCTCTCTCTCACAAACACAGGCACACACACACACAAACACACACTCCGTTCAGGTGGGTGGATGTGGCTAGCATGGGGTCGTGCTCGTGGTCATGCCGGTGGGTCTCCATGGATGGGTCTGTGTGTAGAGTAGGTTTCATGGCTGTGACAGAGCAGTTTCTCAGACAACAGCGTTGGAAGAAGGGAGATCTCTGTCTCACAAACACAGGCACACACACACACACAAACATACACACACTACGTTCAGGTGGGTGGATGTGGCTAGCATGGGGTCGTGCTCGTGGCCATGCCAGTGGGTCTCTATGGCTGGGTCTGTGTGTAGAGTCGGTTTTATGGCTGTGACAGAGCAGTTCCTCAGACTTACAGCCACTCTTGTCAGGGGTTTGGAACGATAGTCTGCTAGGGTTTATGGGCTTGGTGAGAGTAAACTCGACCACTGTTCTCAGGGCTCTTGCTAACCCTGGACGATGCAGCGAGTCCTTATCAATATGTGACGAGGTGGCCAGTCCTTATCAATCATTGACGATGCGGCGAGTCCTTTTCAATCAGTCCAGTGCATCCTATAGGCAGACTGTGGTTCAACCTCCTGATGAGTTGGTGAAAGTCTTTTGTTTTGTGGAGTTGAGTGCAGCGAACATAACACCACAAGATGGCCTTCCTCAGCTCCCAAATCTAACGGATGGATGCAGCTAGGGCCGGGATCGATGCAGCTACAGTCTTCCACCGAATACAACGTACGGTCGTTATAGCTGAATTTAGACTGAAAGATAGACCAAATTCGGCTATAATGACCGTGTGTTGTATTCGGGGGAAGACTGTAAGGTCGGGGGACTGAACTGGTGGTCGGGCCACTGGGTATGCATGGCTGACTGGATGAGTACCGTGGGTTTCTGGGTGAGTGCCGTGGGGGTTGCCAGTCTGGTAGGGCTGCAGGGTTGGTGTGCGTAAAGTTTACCTCTTCTGTGTGTGTCTCAGGTTTGTTGCAAACTCTGGGCAACGTGGTGAGTCCTTATCGCTCAGTCAGATGCGTCCTGGGTAGGGTTCAAGCTCCCGATGAGTTAGGGTTCAAGCTCCCGATGAGTCGGTGAGAGTCCGATGAAATTGTCTGGCATAGCCATGCTCTTTTTTTTTTTGTGGGATTGGCAAATGTACGTACACTCAGCCAGCCTGTGAGGATTCCGAACATGATGATATTTATACATCTGGGTGGGAAAAACGGGTTGTTCCGGTGATTGTTCAAAAGGCACTCACCGACATGCTCAGGGGTATGGACGCGTGTGGGTGACGTGGTGAGTTTCCTTATCTGGTATACAGATGCAACCTGGGCTAATTATCGGGATGGGTCGGTGTCTATGTCATTCATTTTTTTGTTTTGTTTTGTGGAGTTGGGTACGGTGAACATGACAACACCCACCCCCACCCCCACCCACACACACACACACACACAAACACACAGAGACGGAGAAAGATGTGAACACTTACTGATGAGTCGCTGAAAGTCCGAAGAAACAGTCTGGCACAGTTATGCTTTCCTTTGTGGAATTGTGTATAGATGGAATATGACAACGCATGTAAACTCGTTGTAAACACAGTGATGGCATACGTACCCTGCTGTGCTCTCGTTGAAGGCCTCCATTGGCAGTACTGCAAAGTCACGGTATGTCAGCTCCCTTGAGTGAAGAGCTCTTTTATGATGCACATCGAGAAATGGAGAAATTGTCGAAGATGGTTGTTGTTGTTTCACAACAGCAGTTGTGCGGAATGGCAATTTCTGAGTCAAGGTGAATAACGTGTCGCTCATTTTGAAATCAAGCAAACAGACGAGATCAGTACGTTAGGTTTGATGAGTCGGTGAACCTTCGAGGGAACAGTTTGTCACAGCCCGCTACGTGTTTGTTGGCCTCTTCTCCCTCCCTCTCTGCCTACGGTTTACCGGGCAGTTCTATTTGACGATAGATAGAAGATACATCTGTCTTCTCTCCTCATGTACATTAGGTATTCAGATCTAGTGCTATGAAATGATGACTTGACACTGCAAAGACACTGCAAAGTGGGCGCATTTGTTCATCTGACTGCATCTGGATTCGAACTGAGGTCTGTATTTCAACAGCTAATAGGTCTGTATTTCAACAGCTAATAGGTGTACGAACTGAGCTATAGGCCCTGTTGGTACGATGATGGATTTAAAGAATCACGTCCGTGGTGGGTTCTCACACGCGTGATCTTTGTTTTTTCTTTTTTTGGTAACCCAGGCGATTATGGTTCTGGCTCCGTTCCATTCTGGGAGGCAGCGATCTGGTTCCTTTTCCTTTCACAAATCCTGAATATGGCGCTTGTTGACACCACTGTGGAAACGAGGAAAATAGATGCTCGCATCTACCCACAGAGAATGGCAAGATGCATCCGTTACTATGAATAGCAACGGATGCACCTTACTGATGTCGCGGAAGATGCATTTGTTCTTTTTGCTTTTTTCTTTTTTCGTTTCGATGTGGCGAGGCGCTATATACATGAAGAGTTATAATGCAAACGCTTCTCCTCATTACGGCCAGAGGGACGTCCAACAGTATCGACTGCTCCTGCTGTAGGAGGATTTGACGGCTGGGGGTATATATATTATATATATGCCGCTCAACCTACATCCACGTGGGCGGGCTTGTACGCAAGAGGTTTTGAACAGGGGGAGTTGTAAGGAAGAAGATTAAAAATGAATTAAGTTTTTGTTGTTTCCTTGTTTCCTTTCGTTTTTGCCTTCGGCGCTCTGATATCATGTGACAATATATATATTTATGTGAGGATATATAAACAGGGGTGGACTACCTTTTTGTCTGGACCACCCTTTGCCACTGGAAATGGGGTGAGGCACGAGGCTGACCAATGCTGTTCGTCTCAGTCTGCACAGCTGGCTGCTCAAGCCTACCTTGTTTGCTGAAACTAATCAGACGCGACAAAGAAAACCTTGAGCATTTCTCATTTGTCCAAGTATAGTCTGATGTCCGCGGACGTAATATCTTACGTCCATCTGACTGTAATCTGACATCCGCTGATACAACATCGTGCATTTGTTAAACCAGCAGTACCCCAGGGGGGGTCTGACGCAAATGCACATGGATCCATGCAGCGAACCGATTCAGCCACCGCGTTAACGGCCTTAAAACGTGGAGGTACTGGTGGTTTAAGAGGTCGATTGAACTGGTCCTTGGCGACATGGCCTAAAATTGGAACGATACAGAGAAGACTACCATCTTCACCCGAATAGAACGCCCAGTCATTATCGCTGCATCTGGACTTAAAAATGCCCCAAATACAGCTATAATGACCGGGCGTTACATTTGGGTGAAGACGACTAGTTTTGCCCCTCCTGCAGGGATGGCACAAGCATGACAAAAAAAATACAAAAGAAGGAAAAAGGATTCGGAATGGAACTCTGCTACTGGATTGTGCAGGAATAGCTTTGCCCCTCCGTAGGGATCACAAGCATGAAAAAAAAAAAAAAACGCATGAAAGAAGGGGAAAAGATTCGGATGGAGCTCATCAGCTACTGGTTTATGCAGGAAATCTTCTCACTGTAGTCTTCACTGGAATAGAAGGACCGGTATTTATCCCTGCATCTGGATCAAAAGTTGGCCCAAATGCAGTTGTAATGACCGGCCATTCTATTCGGGTGAAGATGGTAGGTCTTAGGATACTACCTGCGTTCCTACAGAGCTACACAAGTCTCGAGTTCTTTTTCAGTGCGTAGTATTTGCTTCAGAAATTAATTGCTTCTTGAGTGCTTGAGGACTGTGTGAATTCTTGAGTGCTAGAGAAGTAGAGTCGTCTTAAAAGTTGAGGACTCTGTGAATTCTTGAGTGCTAGAGAAGTATAATAGTCTTAAAAGTTGCCTGTTAAACTTGAAAGCAATTACAGAACTACTCGAGTCTAATAAATTCGGTGTCGAGGTCTCTAAAAAGACTCCAGCTGGCCCAGTTCTTGCTGGAAAGGGAGGGGTGCCTGATGCTCCCCAGAATAGACTGGAGCCAGGACCGTAAGGCCCTATTTTTTTTTTTTTTTTTTTGTAGAGATTAGAAAAGACTGCGGCCAGGACCGGAGGGCCCGCTTTTATTTTCCATCATTTCCGAAGACTTCAGCTGGCCTAACGCCAGTGAAGGACTTGACATAGGCAAGGAGGACTTCAGGTGTTCGTTGATTCAACGGACTGTTTTCGATAAGGCTGAGATGGACTTGTGACTTGTGGTCCCCGAGGGAGGGTACTACTTGTGGTCCGAGGGTTGTGGCCCGACCCGACTGGAATACCAACCTTACTCGAGCAATCAACTTTGAACAATTTTCATTCAAAGAAAAAAGCGAGAGCTGTAAAATGAAATTACCTGAAGAAGACAGCAAGGAAGGTGGATTTGCGATGTGGAGTCGTCTGTTGAGCAAAAGACCATGAAAAGCAATGAATGCTCACCAACAAGTTGGGAACTGCCACCATCTGATTTCTTTTTTGTTGTTCTCGATCCTGTTTTAGTTTTTGTCGTTCTCGATCCTGTTTGCGTGTTGTTTGCATTGGCGCTGGCCCTTTTGCGGCGGTGTCACAGAGGATTTGGCAGCAAATCTGAACAATTGCACGCGTTTTTTTGTCCTGCAGAATCTTCCGCGCGTTCTGTGAGAGAGAAGACAAGATGGGTCACGCAGCGGTCTGGAACTCTCACCCGAAGAAGTATGGGCCCGGCTCGCGTACATGCCGCGTGTGCGGTAATGGCCACGGGCTCATCAGGAAGTACGGCATAAATACGTGCCGTCAGTGCTTCAGGACTTACGCAAAGGACATCGGCTTCGTGAAGTACCGATGAGCGATCGCTCGAGGAAAAGATGTGAGAGATGGGAGGTGGTTGGACTGGTCCCCCGAGGTGCGGCGTATCTGTGACGTCCAGTTGGAGGAGACAAATGTTTTGGATTTTCTTGCACCCAAGGCTTAACGTCGACGTCGCAACATGTATTCGGTTCGGGTCGTAGTTTATATCTGTGAAGATGCGGATCTTCTACGGTGAATCGCTGGTTGGGGGGGAGGGGGTGAGTTTTCTTAGCCTCGTTCCTTTCAGGAGGTTCTTCTCTGCATGAAGCACGGTTGGATGGAAAATCTGATGGGTGTTTTTTTTCTCTTTTGGTCGTTTTTGGGATGTGGCCTCCGTCGGATAGACGGGAAAGGGTGAGTGGGGGGTGTTGGCCGGCCGTTTAACAGGCTTTGAACTTTTTTGAACTTCGAGTTTTCACGACTTCTTTTGCTTCGAAACTTCTTTGAGAGGATTTTTTTCCTGCTTCTATCATCCGTCTCGAGTGGGGGGGGGGGGTAATGTCGGTGTTGTATGCGTGTGTGTGTGTGTCATGATCACCAAATCTACCAAATGTGTTCTCGCGCTCTTCGATCGAGTGTGCAACGACGTCAGGTCAGTCTTGGGGAGTGTAGTGACGTCTCTGTGTGCTCGATAACGCTTTCGTCTGTGTGTGCTTGTGTCGGCTTTGCTAAGGCTGTTGATGATGTTGTCGTGATCTTCTGGGATAGGAAGAGTGATCTTTGCTGTAATTGCTGTACTGATGTATGTGTGAAGCGTGCGTACGATCTGGATCAGGAGGTAGTGAGTAGGTGCGAGAGTGAGTCGAAGGATGTACACTCCCACCGTGTGAATATATATACCCTTATGAATGGTGGGTGTGAGAGTGGACCTGGACTGCGAGTAAAGAAAAACAGAGAATGGTAATCACAGAGATCGCGCGACGAATGGGAATTTGATGCATAGAAAAAAGTGTGGTATTCAAATGAAATTAAAAGGTGGCGGGGGAAAAGGTGGCGGCGGCGAGGGGGAGAGGGATAGAGTAAGGGCGTGGTCGCACCGATCAGCATTTGACATGTATTTGGACCTGCTTGACATTTCGAATGTCTTGGGACGCAGAGCTCAGGTCCAGATCCGTTTCGAACGTTGTGCGGTGGAGCGAGGGCCCTAAGCCGCTTCACGGGATGGCAAAGTTGGTGCAAAATCAGGCCCCGCCAAACTAGTCATGAAACGAGAAAGTGGAGAGTGCATATGCACACAGAAGCATGTGTACCTAGCCACGAGGTCCAGGTGGGCCCAGGTTGCCCGTCCGGTTAAGGTCCGGGCGGCGAAGCAGGGCCAGGTCCGGGCGAAGTCCCGGTCAAGGTCTCGGGCAGTCCCCAAGAGCGAAAAAACGAAATCCGAAAAAAAGAAAGTCGTGCAGAGTTGCGTTTGCTCGAGGGTGAAAGATTTGAGAGGAGAATATATTGTAATTGAAAAAAATAAAATAAAAAAAAATCGTGAAGGAATCCGAAAGTACAAATTAGAAAAAAAATAAAATATTTAATTATATCATATCCTTGTAGACCCTGTTAAGATCCTTCTTCGAGCCCACTCGTTCTGTCAAGTTCATGATAGTACTTCCTCCCCCTTTCTTCCTGGGTTGATGATGCCAACGGCAATCGAGTTACTTATGGAGTTACTTATGGGTTGGAGGGGAGCCCCTCCCTTTTTTTTTCTGTGGAGGATGTTTCTGTGGAGGATGTAGCAATGGGATTGGCAATAGGAGCCCCTCCCTTTTTTTTTCTGTGGAGGATGTAGTAATGGGATTGGCAATATGAGGCATAGAGTTTATAGGACGGAGCGAATCGTGAAACATTGCCCTCGGTTTCGGATTGTTTGGTCTCTCTCTGCAACTCGGTCGAGGAGATGAAGTTGGACTTGGACTCGCTACAGTCTTCCCCCGAATACAACTTACGGTCATTATAGCTGTATTTGAGGCATCTTTCAGTCTAGATACAGCTATAATGACCGTACGTTTTATTCGGGGGAAGAAGGTAGTGTAGTCGTGCATCAGCATATGCTGAAGTCATGTCACTTGCTGCCAATTAGAAACTTCTGAACCTTCTTCCCACTTTGTCCAAATTTGAATTCACAGTTTGCAAGATTACCATTGCCCCTGCTCAAGGGTAACACTTAAGAAAAAGGGAAAAAACATATTCACAGAGCGAGTGGCAACACATTATATGAAAGAGAATTGAAACGGCCATCTGCTGAGGAGGGAGAGGAAAGGGGTAGAAAGACGAAACATATTCACAGAGGGAGAGGAAGGCGGTAGAAAGACGAAACATATTCACAGAGGGAGAGGAAGGCGGTAGAAAGACGAAACACATTTCACAGAGTGAGTGCCAACCAAGGTTACGAGCCGGGACGCGCGGGTCCCGGGTGGCCAGCCCGTGCAAGGACCAGGAAAGGTCCCAGCAAAAAAAAAACTGTGTTATGCAGAAAAGTAAACTGAACAACGTTTGCCTCATGGTCAGATTGAAATTATTCACCAAATTTAAAATAAAAAATCGACTTAATTTTTTTTTTTTAATTATTTTTTAAATGTTTTTGGCCCGGCCGGGCAAGTGACCCCGGGCCACTCTGGTAGCCTAGGTGCCAACACATTATATGAAAGAGAATTGAAACGGCCACCTGCTGAGGAGGGAGAGGAAGGGGATAGAAAAAAAGCAGAAGAGATTGTGGAGGCAGGTGGGAAGTTAAAAACGGAAATTGAAAAGAGGGTCAAGCTGCCGCCGTCGCTGTTGGGACCGCGAAAGCAAGGAAGAGAGGAGCTTTACATCATCATCGATGTTGCCGATGTAACGGTCCCGGTCCCATGACGAGGAGGCTGGCAGGGGTTGAAATGTTTTGCAGACGTCGGCCCTTTTGCCAAACCGCTCAGCAATGTTCATGTGTTTGGCTGTTTTTTAGACCAGGTGCATCCGGCCGAGTCCAAAATTTTGAATGTGTGATCTGGACAGTATACTCATCGAGTGTTGTGAAGTGAAGCCGGGCCTCGTTGGATCACAAAGACCCCTCTTGAGTTCGCCTTGTGGGAAGCGTTCGTGTCTATGAGACACAAAGGAGGGGTCTCTTTGGGGAAGCATTCGTGTCTATGAGACACAAATGAGGGGTCTCTTTGTCTTGTGGGAGAAAAGATCCCTCTTTATCAGCCTTCTTGTTTTGTTCTTAAAAAAAGGATACTCGTCATCCTCGCCGGGTTCACGGCGGACTGGGAAGGTCATGGATCCCAACATGACCTTGCGGAACTCCGACTCCTCGTCGCCGAGATTGTAGATCTCCCGATAAAAGGGTCTCTTGTCTGGTCCCCTCTTGTTCCTTGTCGAATGGGACGCAAAGATGGGAATGGTACTGCTGCTCATGGATTGGGGTTCAAGGAGATTATGGACATGGAGAAAACTGTGAACAAGAACACTGTGCATCATGGGGTGGTACCCCTGCATCTCGGGTAGATAACCGCCTTTCCACTGCAGGAAAAAAAACAACAACAAGAAAGATGGACAGAAAAGAAAAAAAACATAAACGGTCAAATACTCGCACTGTGTGAGAAGAGCACAATATTTTCCGATTTAGGAAAACACAAAACCGCCAGCTAGAAAAGAGGACAAGGTTTTTCCGCTCTAGGAAAACAAAAACCGCCAGTTCACGCGAGAGTGCAATAGCGCACACTTCTCCCCCCCCCTTTCTTTTATTATTATTATTTTTTGTTTTTGAATTTGAACATCAGGTGCAAGCCTGCAATCCTGGAACGATAAGAACGTCCCCAGGATTGAGACATAGCAAAGATTGATGGCTCCACAAAAAAAAAAAAAAAAAAGATGGCTCCACTTCTATCGGTGGGGAGCTGCACCTGATGGAAAAGGGGTCCAGCGTCCCTCGTTCATAATACAAGATGCAGACACTGGGATCATTTCCCAGCTTTGGTTTGTTCGACTCAGCGAAGCCTCGAGCACCTTTTTTTTTTTTTTTTTTTTTTTTTTTTTTTTTTTTTTAATTGGAACCCTGCTTTGACAGATAGGAGTGATGATAAGAGCATGCACTTCGACCTGTCGTGCATTCTAGTGATCCTTTGAAACGGACAGCGGTTATCTTCATCATTTGTGTGCAGATCTTGAGCATTTGTCAGCGGATCATCGCCCTACCTGAGTGTACGCAGGATCATCGCCCATTCTAGTGATCCTTTGAAACGGACAGCGGTTATCTTCATCATTTGTGAGCGGTTAAGAGCATTTGTCAGCGGATATCTTGATCATTTGTGCAATGAACCCAGATCGTGAAGACGCTTGTCAACATTCCAAGCCCAGATGAAACTGCTGATGATTACTGATAATCATAATAGTGTCCAGATAGAAGATGGGATAATCATGCACAGACGAAGGAGAGGAGGGAGATTAGACAAAGGAGAGGAAGAAAAAAACAAGGCCCACCCACTCCTGCTTCGGGCTCCTCCTCGATCACCACCTCAGATAATCAATAGTCTAAACACATATCTAAAGGCCTATTTCAGTGTGCCACGTGGCATGTCGATCAGACCCTCGTCAGCCTGTACTGGAGCAATGTCGACCTCAAGAACACCAGGTATGTGTCCACAATCATCCCACAGTCATGATCTCCTCCCGAATGACGAGGAATCAGAACAGCAATGCCAGTCACATAGCCCAGCCATGTCAGACGATAAAACACGTGGCAGCGGCAATGTCAGCAGCAACTCGTGGCAGTGGCCATGTCAGCAGCAACTCGTGGCAGCTGCCATGTCAGCATGCCATGAAGACAATAGCCAGCCAGCCACTATGCCCAGCCAGCAGTGCGTCGCCGTGATCTCCCAAGTGCCAGCACAAAGCCAGCGTCCACCAGCGTTGACGTCAGCATTGACGCAAGACTGAATGAATGTCAAAGTCAGGAAGTCAGCGCGTAAGTAGCGTTGACGCGGGGTCTGGACCCCGGATGCTGCATCCCTCAGCTGTCCAGATCTCAATGCAAATATAGGCCCAGATTGACCTGAAACCGAATTCCTTCTGGCCTCGATGCTGTCTGGGTACCTGCGCACAACAAGTGAGTGTATCCGACCAAGGGCCTGGGCGGGGTACCTTTGACTTGACAGTCGACTTAGACTGGTAATTTTCCCACGGGCAGTGTGCAGTCACACTGCCTGGCGCAGGCCGAATTTGGCCTGCATTGTCTGGGCTCCGTTTCGAGGGCACAGACTGCTGCAGAACACGGGTTCTGCAATTTGTCAGCATCAAGACCAGGATCAGTATAGTAGTGGTAGGAGGTAGGTAGGTAGGTAGGTAGTGAATGTGAATTGGAAGAATTTGAAAGATGGTGAAAGATGTGAGAGAAGAATACAGCATAGTTAACGAAAAGCAAAAAAAAAAAAAAAAACAAACAAACAAACAAAAAAACAAACAAACAAACAAAAGAACTGGCATCTACAACACCCTGGACTTTCTTGAAGGAAAATGAAAAAGACCCTGATCAGTATATACGTGATTCGAGAAACTACCGAGATCAGAAATTAACAGTGAAAGTCCGCGCTCAAGATTACCACTCAATCTAAACTAGAAAAGTCACTCGATCTAACTAGAAAAGTCAGGATCAATGTCGCAGAACATCTCAGTCTCCTGTCCATGTGTTAAATCTCCCATCCAGAAGACGACCCGTAGCCAGACGAAACTGCGCTGCCCTTCCTAATATTTGCCCCTCCAGTACAAGATCTCCTTGATGAACGTTCGCTACTACTTCGTACGACTCCAGTCGAGCGCTGGCCAGTGAAACTCTCTCTCTCTCTCTCTCTCTCTCTCTCTCTCACACACACACACACACACACACACACACACACACACACGACACACACACCAGCTGAAAGCTCTCTGTATCGAAAAAGGTCCCAGTGTAGTACTTCCAAACCCATCGAGTCCACGCTGGCAGCTGTAGCCCCTCCATTGTACAGTCTGCGGAGTCCGATGTTTTCTTTTGGCGAGAAGAGTCCAAGAAAGATTTTAATGAGAAAAATTGTGCGCTGTTGAGGTCCTGAGTTTTGGCTCCTCCTGTGGGACCCGACAACTGGAAGTGATCAGAGCATCCTCCAGGAAATGGACCCCCAAACGGTGGCTCCAGTGTAGAGGTATGGAGCTTCACCTGCTGGGAAGAGGACCTCAACAAACAGTCGGCGGTCCCTACCTCTACATCGGCGCTTCACCGTTGGGAGTTCCCTTTCCACAAAGCTCTTCAACAGTCCAGTCCCTTGTTAATACAGTCTGACCGACCGATTGTCTGATTGTCTGACTTGATTTGTCGGACCAGGCTTGACTGGGCCCCCTTCTCTTCACTCCTAATCTCTTGGTAATAGTACTGACCCGTCAAGGTGACCTCATCAAGGTGACCTCGACGCTGTTGCTTTCTGCTGGCAAGGACTCTAATTGGCCGACAGAAGGAAATCGAGAGGGCGGCTAGCGTGTGCATTGGTTTTCAGGGTGAGAGTGGGAGGCCCTTTAGTTGTGTGCTTTTCTGGGCTGTGTATTTGGTTCTGCCGCTGTATGTTGTCGAACCGTCCCCCCAAAGGTCCAGTGTATAGTGCTGGCACTGCTGGGTAGAGTATGTTCATCCTCTTTTCTTTTCTTTTTTGGGGAACTTGCCTCCTTGCTACTCTTGGGATCAGCATTCCGGTTCTGTTTCCAACAGCAAGTCGAAAAAAAAAAAGTACGAGGCCATCACCACATTGCAAAACGAGAACGAACTTCCCTCTAGAACATGCACCCACCACATTTTTGTCTTTTGAACCCTGACAGGATTGATTGCTTCCCAGTGAGAAGGATTTACTGTCTGTCAAGCCCATGCTTGAAAGTTGAAACCCGTCCCCATACCCGCGCGCTATCAAATGTATCGTCCATTGTTCTTCAGAGACTCTGTGAGCCTTCCGTGGACCTGTATGGCTCTTCGGCCTCCCTATTCTGCCTTTGAGTTTTCAGTCTTCAGGGTCCCAAGGCTGGTACTCTTTTTTTTTTTTTTTTTTTTTTTTTGTTGACTGGCAAGTGTATGAGGGAGGAAGGATGGTGAAGTTAAGATGAAGAGGTAGGATGGAGCGGGAAAGCGCGTATGGGGGAGGCCGAAGGGGGGGGAGGGGGAGGGCAGGGTTGGGACACTGACAATTCCTCCGGGAGGGGTTGGGCCATAGCCTGAACCCCTCCCTGATAATCTGTTCTCTGGAGGGTGCCTGTTGTTGTCGCTGTTGCTCTGAGCCACTGGATGGGGAGAGGGGGGGGGG